GTACAATATTTTCATTATATAAGTGGCTAAAAAAATCGATTGAAATCATTAATTATCAACAAAAACCGACTGTCGGCTTTTGTTTATATAAAATTCGATTCGCGAGTAAATTCGATTGAATAAATAAAGCAGTTTATTATTAAAGTTTAATTTGCATCTCATAAATGAAGGAGAATAATATCGTCAATCGATTTCTGCTTCATTTAAAGTGAGTAATTTTCGTGCTGTAATTATATATGTACCTATCGTTTTTAATAATTATAAGATGGAAATAGGAAAATCTTTTTTGATCATTTCTTATTAAAATCCTTGCTCGAAATATAGCAGTAATATATCAGTTACAGTATTAACAATGTAACATATCGTTAACAATATTGATTTGATCCAATTTAATTTTTTAATCTTTAATGAGATCTCTTTCTTTAAATCAATTCTCTGAAGTATTTATTACACGACGAAACCACTGGGGCTTTCCGTATTTTCTGTGCGACAGAATCAAAAGGTGAAATATGAAATAACTCGCTTAGGTGTTAATTTGTTCTTGCCGCGTACAAGATAAAAAATTATTTGTCCCGCCGAAGGATCCTGTTCTTAAGAGAACTCGCGTTCAGAATGGATTGCATCCAGGTCTTACATAAATCCAATTTGTAACCTGCCGTGTAGCGATTTTTTTCCCTGTCACGTGGAGCTAACGCGACGCGCAATTATACTTCGTTTGTGCGCGGATAATCCGATCGACGGCGACGGCGGAAGGGAACACTCGCGTTAATAACAAAATTGAGTCTGAAACGGAAAGAATTTCAGTGAAATAGTTTCTCTTTCGTCCTCGCAGCCGGATGTTAATGTCATGGAACTTCCCTAGCCGGCATGTTGCAACCGGTCGAATATATAATTCTGTTGCAAGATGCATGAGGGGGGGTTCGACCGCGAGGCGAATCATCATGTACTAAATACGAACACGTGGAAAGTGAAATCCTCGGATCATCGTATCGATCATGTTCCCCATGAGGCTAAGAGAATCTTAATCTATGATCCACGAGATCTCTGAAGGGATTTATGATGAACTTAAGATGCATAACTTGGCACGAAATAATTTTATATACTTACTTTAAAATTTAGATAAAAATTGATTTTCTCAACTTTTCAAATCCTATTCTTTAAACTTTAAAATGTATTATAATTATAATATTTATACTAATATTTTTTCACGAAACATTGAATTTTTTTACATAGATTTTTTTAAAAACATAATACAATAGGCATTATTTAGAAAAACATTTATTTATGGCAATCAATTCTATCTAATTTTTAAATGTCTAAACACATTCGTGATTTTATATTTTTATCATAGAAATTTTTGATCCAAAAATCTGTGCGCTACCAGTGAACATTTATAACGCAATATATTTTATCACGAATTCTTCATTGCCACATCGCTTGAGGTCGAAATTAATCGTCCGATTTAACAAGCTCGAATATAATGATTTAATCCTGGCAATCCTTTAATGAATAATTTCTATACGACAGCCGCAATTTTCTGTCATCCGGTAAAACTATTCGCGGTTGGTTTTACCGGTTCGACGTTCGCGCTTGAAGGTTGCTTTCGACACGCCAAGCGCCAAGGAAGCGATCGTTCCAGACACGCCGCTGCAGTTTGCATGCTAAGCAAGGTGATAGATCGATACGTTGCTAATTTCGTACATGGCTAATTCGTACCGCTGAATTCGCTCGTGCACCGGAATGAATATTGTGTTTTCGTTCGTACTCGGGCTCGATATAGACGCGAACGACGCGCAAGGCGTTTTTCGCGTCGCGAGTCCACACTCGTTCTTTTTCCTCTCACAATGACGTTAAGTGCCGAGCGTTAACGTTTGCCTTTGAGCACTTCGCAGCCACTTTTGCACCTTCGAGACGTGCCGTGAGGCAAAAAGAAGCGAGATTATACCTTGCATGACTAGTCGTTCGACAAACGACACTCGTTTTACGCATGCATTCCTTCCGTCCATAGCCCATACACCTCTCGAAGGTCTGAGAGACCACGCGTAATAAAATCGAGCAAGTTAAAATTTTCTACTCGCTCCATTGTAAATAGTGCATTTATAGCACATGGCAGAAAAGAAATCGGATTCGGATAAGAGTCGCCTGTGAAACCTAAATTTTTGATCCGATAATCATCGCGCTGTCATGTAAATGATCGATATCGTGACCTTCGAATTCAATTATCCTCTTTTTCGATCGACATTATTGCGAGATCGCAAAATAGGTGTTGGCGTTCAATCATTATCTAGCTGTCACTTTTAGGTGTTTTGTTTACTTATCGGTCTTGCCATTTAAAAATATTTAGCGCGATGCCTTGCGCAAAAATTACACATGTACGAGACGATGCAGAAAACGGGCGAAGTCGTAAATCACTCTACAGTTACTTTTCGTACAGCAGAAGTTAAACGTGGGACGAGAGAGGTGGTCAGCGAGGCATAAATTGAGATTTAAAAAAAAAAGATATCGGACAAAATGTCTGGGGAATTAAAATTTATGACAATTGAGTGTATTATTGGGATGTCAAAATCTTATTTCTTCACGCGTAAAGCGTTTATCCGAAAAAACCTGTCTTGCAATAAAATCTAGATGAACTTTAAAAGCAAAGGGCTCGGTACGCGCTGTAAAGTTTTCGTTGGTCATTAAAATTTTCTTCGGTCGTAAATTAAGGTCCCCCAGGAATTTTTAACGTCGGACAAAAGCGAGGTCCGTCCGCGATAGCGTTTTGCGTTTTGTGCTTACGCCTCAACGTGTGCCTCACCTGCGCGCGTAATCGCGCAAGTGAAGTCGTAAACATTGAAATTACGAGAATTATGGAACTTACGCGTAAGATGATTAATGGCTCACAGGTGGCTGCTTACCGCCTTGTTGAGATCTCTCGACCCGCGGCGGTAGAAGTACGTAGATTGTTCTCTTGCGACAGCACCCGCATCCGCGCTTTATTTCTCTGACCTTAACGTCGAATCGTTATAAAGACTAACGTACGAACGCTCGTAAATTGCGAACGAGGCTCAGGATTAAATTAGCCATCGACAGACAGATGGGAAAACATCCGGCGGCGTATAGCGTTACGGAAGAGAGGCGATAACGAGGAGAATTTTATTGATTATCGAGCCTCGCGGAATTAGAATTTTCTAGGAAATGTATGTCGTTTAAAATTTTTATGATACGCATATGCGATGAGGCTGATATATCCTGCGACTGCTCCGAGCGTGAAAGTTTAAAGTATCGGTGGTAGCTACAAGTGAAACTGAATCTTTTACCATGAATAAATCAATGACTCGTGTGTTTCGCGGGCTCCGGTAAAAGTCGCGTTATTATACACGCGACGTTATTTTAATTAGCTGCCGCTATTAATATCAAAGCACACTTGGCGTCGCAAACGTAAACAAGCAAACACGGTTCGTTTCCGATTTCAGTTACGGACAGCACCGTGCACCGGCCGCAGTGCTGTCGAACATAAAACGAAATCGAAAGAAAATGCTACCGCCGTCCACTTAAGCGGCTCGCAAAAACCGGAATAATCAAACCTACAGGGTGTCCTGGAAACCGCGATCTTATTTTTAGGTAATGATATAAATGTTTCACTGAGTAGGTTTCTTTTTTCTAAACGAAATGTCGAGAGAGAGAGAGAGAGAGAGAGAGAGAGAGAGAGAGAGAGAAAGAGAGAGAGAGAGATACTTCCGTATCGGAGAAATTGTGTAATTATGCGTGACGCGCGCTATTGTTGAGCTACATCTTCCTTTAAACGCAGGTAAAGTTGATGTCTGCCATATCTCAGATAGCACAGAAGGAGGGAGGGCGGAGGGGGATTCTCACGGATAACAATTACTACATAGTTAATGTGGAATATCAGCGTGGCTGGCGAGAGCGTTTCGGGAAGACTTTTTATCTAATGTCGTGCTATTTTCCACAGTTAATTCACTGCACGGGATGCTTATTAGATGGGAACAATACTGCCCTTCGTTTCCCATCTGGTAGCGAGGTTGTGGAACCCTGTTTTTGCGTTACATAAAACTTCGGACGGTTATCGAGACTTATTAAGTATTCGCGGTGAACGGTATTACAGCGTGTATATAGTTGTACACGCTGCCCGTGAACCTAATGCATTCGACGCCTTTTACCGGAATACCTCGATTATTAAAACCGCGTCGCCCGTTAAGGCTCGCCATACGCGCTCGTGCGTTGAACTTGTTCCTCACGCCGCAGTTCGTGTACCTGACCGTAGTTCTGCGTAACAGACACCTTTCGAGCTTTCAAGATCATCTTGCCGTCATCATAAATCATTTCAAAGTGAAGCCCGTGACCAAAATGGATCTAACGTTGACATGTACAAGTGTACGGATCACTTCTCGAATTTCTGCTAGACGAAAGTGTCTTGTTCGTGCCGGTGAATAGGAATCGTGCTTAGCTATGCACGTCTCATTGGCCGTTTTACGATGGAGAGGAGCCATCGATAAACACACAGGTATAATTAATAGCGCAAATATATTCTCGCTTTTAGGACTTTTAGAGCCGTGCGAAAGCTGTTTTGTCATAAATGCGCATGACCCATTAGCTCATTAGTTCGCTGCAATCGTTTCGCGACGGCGACTCCTGATTATGCTCGCGGTTTCCTTTGCACCGCGACGCGTTTTCCCGCCGAATCGAGAGACGCAACCGTCGCGCAACCGTGAAAGTGCCTCCGGGTCTCGCGAGGCACGTTGATCTCCGATGCAGAGATCGAAACGTGGATGAGCAGTAGCAGCAGCAGCAGCAGCCGCCATCTAAATGGCGGAAGGAACGGTGAAATAGAAAGCCAGCGGGCGATAAAAAGCGGGGGACATGCGTGATTTCCGCGATGCTGCGTCTTCCCCTCCTCCGCGCTCCCCCTCCGTCATCCTCTGAAGATCGCCGACGAGGTAAGACGTTACTACATCGAGGAGTGGATTATCAAGTAGCAGCTGTCGCGCAATGGGACTTACGTCTCTAACGATATCCTCGCCGCCGTTGGAAGCCTCCTCCACGTTGATGCGAATGGTCGACATGCTACGAGGCGTCGATCCCTCGCCGAGCCACCCTGATAGAATATTCTCTTCTAAATTGCTGTCAAAATTCGATGCTGCTTCCTGGATCCTCATCAGCTGCGTTATCCGGGAGTCCTCGTCAAACGTTCCTCTCACGAGATCACCACTCCTTGGCGTGCCGGCTGGTAATCTCCCCTGTACTAATCCACGGATTCCACAAGAAACCCACTATCAGTCACCCTCAAAGAACGAATCGATTTTTCGCGCGGGTGCTCCGTGCGTGACTATCGGCGGTCTAATTCGAGATCTTCGCCCTCTCCTCGGTACTTAAGAGGTAGAGGTCATTATGAAGCGCGTATCCCAAGGAATGTGTTTTCGAAGACAGAGCTGAATCGGAGCTCGGTGTCCTTTCTCTTCCTTCGGAGCAGAACAGTGCCTCGTCGTTTCGTCAATTTAATTTTTCCTTCGGATGCGCAACGAACTCGCTCCCGATCCCTTCGCGAAAATCCTGCACGGAATCACCACCGAGGGACGACCGATAGCGCGCTGGTCACTGTCGCATGTAATATATGTGTATATGTGTGTGACGCGCGTCTCGCGCCTGTTAAAGGAGGAGTACCGCGCGCCGAGTATCGCGATCGTCTCTCTCGCACACGTGCGACTAGAGCCGCCGCCGCATCTGGCCTTTGGACTGGCTGGCACCAGTCCACCAGATCGGTTTTATACCTTCGTATCTCCCACTCTCGTGCGAGCGCGCTCGTGTTCGCTCGCTCGCTCGCTCGCACCGCGGCACGGCTCGATTCTGCACACGGGCAGTGTTCCACCACGGCCGAGAGGATCGATCTTTTTTTTTTCTTCCTTCCCAGACGCACCGTACCCGTGGTACGGCGGCGGCAGGGCCCATGCGTCGCGCCTTGTCCATGCGAAGGGGACACTTCTCTCCGCGGGTGCTCTAGGCGCAAGGACGAACGGGAGGTCGAGGGAAGGGTCCGCCCTAAGTCCGGTTGAACGTATGTGTGCCGACCGGATTGCCGATCGACCCCGTCTCTCGCCGATACAGGAAATAGTTGTGGAGTGCAGACACCGAGGCGCGTTATCGCCTAATGACCGCGTAACGAAGTCTAGGAAGTGTGGGCTCACTCTTATCTCGCAGATTCCGCACGTAACCGCGGCACGCCTCGACACGCGAATTTTATTCTTGCCGGCCGTGTGTAGAAAGGGGGAAAGGTGCGTATTCCCGTCTTATCTCGACTTCCGACAATGGTCTTAATATCGTGAGTAGGTCTGCATTCGTTCGCCGTGTGTTATTCTTCGGCATAACCACTTGTTTTCTCTACTGTAAGCAGATCGATTCAAATGATGAATGATCACAACAAATAACTTCTCACGAATTATGATAATACGCGCAGCGATCTGTCTGTTTCGGTAATCGAGATTTTATTAATATGCGACTGTAAAATGTAATGAAGGAAATTGTAATTGATTCCGATACAATCGCTCTTATAGAGAGGGTATGAAAAATCCTTGATGAAAAATTCCATTGATGAAATATTAAATGGCCTCACATTATCGTTAAATTAAACATTAACTCTTGCACTGCTTGTCATGAAATATCTGTCTTGTGTTTTAACGTATAACGAAATGTCTGCTTTTTTTTATTCTCGTGACAAAGTATCTGTAGTCTTGTACTTTGTAATTCACACCGTCCTTCGGACGGTGTTTGTCGGTTGTAAGCGAGACCAACGACCGGAAGCGAGCTCCGTCTTATCGCATGTTCTTCGGTTTGCTCGATTTTTATGCCGATTCGCGTAATCTGGACCTCGTTTTTCGTCTTTGGCCCGCACATCGCCTCGTCGTCACGCATGAACGCGCTCATAATTTTCTACGAGTATCGCATGACAGCGATACTGATATGAGAAAAATGATTCCGTATCTTTTCTGACGTCGAGCCGATGGGAAGACCAGGGATGAAGGCAACACGGGACGAATGTAACATCGCGTCTGTATCTAAAAACAAATAAACAAAATCAAATGTATTTTTGCATGTTGCATTCTTTGGTTGTTTCCAAAGAACGCAACATACAAAACATGTTTGATTTTGTTCATCTGTTTTAGATATAGTCGCGATGTTACATTCGTCCCGTGTTACTTTCATACTCTCTGGTCTCCCCTACTTAATGCAGATTCGCATAACGGACGACGGCAGGAGTAGCAAGAACTGCTCGTCGATCTAGTTCGTGGACGCGGCACGCTTGAAGAAAGTGCATCCGCGACGCGATGGCATCTCCGCGCCATCGTATTACAACTGCGGCCGGGAACAATCGCGCGCGTTCTATTTTATGCAACGTCAAAGGCGCGCCGAGGCGTGTGAATCGCGCGTTTTTCTTTGTCCGATCAGACTGGATAAAATGAAAAACGCAGACCATGACTACCGTTGGCCGAGTATTACAGAAATTTTGTAACAGACACTCGACGCGATCGCGTGGGAGGGTCATATTCTCATACAGCCGCGGCAATCGTATCGCGAATCTTCCATTATGACAGAATTAACTTCGCAACATTTGCATCGCGAATATCGTGACAAAAGGTGAGGATTCGTCTCGCGAAATACCCAATTTTCCGAAAGGATTTCTCGGCCGATGATGCTTGAAAGCACGATCGGCTGAGTATAAGGCTACAAGTGGAAATTACGCGATGCGGACTGGAATTATGCCTGACAGCGGTTGACTTCCGAATCATCGCGTCATGAAAGTTAAATGTAACCGCGACAAAACGATGGTCCTTATGCAACGGTGCCACCGGATTACCAGGCGGCAATCGTGTTTCGTAACCTTGAATCCTATCGAAAGGTATAACATCATCGGCATCCAGTTGATCCGCGTAAAAATTCCACGTTTCGATCGATTCTGGGAAGCTCCCTGACGTATCTCAACCTCGATCGGGCCGACTGACTCACGCGACTTGCTCGCGAGGCCACGAGGCGCGCTTTAATCCACATCTCTCGCAAATTAGACCTAATCACTGCGTTCGGCTTTCCGCGGTGCAAATTAAATATTCCGCTCGCGCGTTGCATACGTAGCACTCTATTTCAGGCAAGGACTAACACACCGCAGACTTCCTTCTTGGGAAGCTCTGCTTCCTTCCTACCCCGGCTCCTTCGCCGACGTCGGTTCAGCTGGCGGTCCACGGGAGAAATCCACGAGGTCGTGATCTCACGGAACGATCTCGATCGTCGGGGAGTCAAGTGCACCGTCTCTTCTCGGCTGACCTCCGGTCGCTCGGTCGCCCCAAGGCGAAAAGTTACGTGGCTTTTATATAGCTCCGATCTCTCACGAGCGTTGGCATCACGGACACATCTCGCATAAGTCTCGCTCTTTAAACAGATCGGGCGCGTGCCTCCGTCCCATATCGTCCGATATCGGATAATTTGTTAGATCACGTCCGACCTTTATACGTCGTCAATTAATTTCCGATCTTTTTTACAATAAAGAGAAACGGCGCTGCGGACATTTGTGCGAGATTAAGCGTGAAATTAATGTCGATAAGACATTAATTAAGTGGAATCGCCTTGAGTCTGATTTATTTATTTGTAGATAATGATTTCTTCAGATACTTCAAGTCCATTTTGGATATTTTTCATGAAATTCTACCAATTGAAGGACTTGCTGCAACAGTGTGCTAACCCACAGTTTATGAAAATGAAAAAATTAATTCGTAAATTAAAGTGAAATAATATTTGCGCCACAATATAGTTGGCTGAAAACGTAGCTATAAATTATATTTAAATAATGGTAATGACAACCATTTTTATGGTAATAATTATAATTATAGCATTTTTGGTGCCAATTATATGTATATAATTTTTGATAGAACTATACATATAATTATTATTAATTATATTAAATGACATATAATTATTAGATATTAATTAGCAATAATAACTATAGTACCATATAATTATAGTCACAAATGCCAAAAACTTTTCTCTTAGTAAAACTTTTCAATTATTTACATACACGGAAAGAACAATTTTGCTGAATCCAAATCTGAAAATAATTTTTGTTCAATAATCAAAATAATTTTGTGCGAAAGTCAAAATGATTGCTAGAATATCAAATGTTTTATAGCAATGCTTATCAGTTTTAACATTCCAACAAATTATTTTGATCATTCAACAAAAAATTATTTTCAGATCTGTATTTAGCAAAATTTTTAGACTTTTCAACAAAATCGTTCTTTCCGTGTATCAATCTTTTGAAGTATTATTACAGGAAAAATTTATAATTTCTAATTGTACCTTAGTTCAACAATATTAATGCTTCGCGAGATATTTGCGTCAGGAGAAAAAAATTGGCTCTAATTAGCGTAAAGGTTCTATGTATATGAAAGGAAGTGCAGCAAAGCAGGGACATTTACACTGTACACTCACGATTATGCTCGCCATACAATTAGTCATCTCTACCGTAGCTTGCTACCCATTTTCTTAAGTATATACCAGAGGACAAAGTCTTTGCGTACGAGTCGATTAAAGTTATTAGCCGTATTTCGCAAGCGGACATTAATCGTCGCCGACAAGTCCCGAGATGAGTCGTCGGTTACTCGTCGTCACGCGGGGGGGAAAAAATGGGTACATCCTCACGTGCAATTTGTACGGTTTCCATTAATGGCGATTGCGCCTCGATTGAAATTTAAATGTGACTGCGAGTCTGCCGCGCGCGTGCGGCGCACCTACGCGCTCGTCTCGCGCGATTTAACGACTCCTCGCGCTCGTATCTATCACGATTGATTGCACATGCCGGAGAATTCCTCTTAACCCTTTATCGCACGATTTTTTCTTGGACAAAGTGTATTTTATGAACCGGACTCCCTCGATGCTTTTATCCCCTCTCGAGTCTGCGGCGTAATCAACGTCGTCGTATTCTGCAGCAATTATGCATTACCGTATTTATAGCTCTGACTGAAAGCATTGATCATTCTTAGCACATCGTATGATAACTCAAATTATGCAGTTAATTCTCAAAATGTATTACTAATGCTTCGAGAAGCTCTCGAGTCAGTATCTCTGATCAATAGATTTCTGTTCCTTTTTCTCACCAATTATCTCTAGAAATATCTCAAGAAGAATATCCTAGTCCTTATGTAGATCATTGCGATATTTTTATTTCTGGAACGGTTAAGATCTCGTTAACGGAAGTACACGCCTCCGGAACTTTTTTCTACCTTGAGCCCGGTTTTGTCTCACGAATCTATCCTGCTGCTTTCGATGGGGCAAGGTCACGCTTTCGACAGCTTCCTGGTCCGCGCTGTCGCGCACCGCTACTCGCGCGCGCGGATACTCTGTCCCACGTGCACGCGGAAAAAAAACCACGTACGTTCAATGTCTATCGATCTTTTTCGATCGCGAGCAAGGTCAAAAGGGATTGGTTTTACCTCGCTCTTCCTACTCTACGTCACGTCGAGAGCGTTACCCGCTCGCCCGTCTTCGTCCTGTCTGCGTCGTTTCTCTTCTACGCGTAGCGTATTTCGTCGTTCCGCCCACTCTCCGAGCCGATATACGCCGAACCTTCGCTTCGAGAAATTAATTGCGCGTCTGTCCCTGCTGTGCACCACCTCCCGCCTCTTCCCCGTGCCCGACTCTTGCTCAAGAGTCCACGCAGGTCGATCGTTCGGATGCTACGACGCTCAAT